TAAAATCAAAGCAGCAAGAAGTTGGATGAAGTAATATACAAGTGATGTAACTATGCAGTGGAGGCTTTACAGTAGGAAGATCGTGAGCTCTGGCGGTTGCTTCTTGTTTACCATCTCGCCTCTCGAGGAAAACATCGGCATCATTTAGTAGCTCCTCGGCCTTGTGTGAAGGCCCGGAATTGTCGCTGCCCATTGCTGCCCGGACTTCCATCTCTTTGTCGTCCAAAGATCTTTGCTTACCAGTTCTCACCTAGATCGACTCACTTTACCCATAGCACACCATAGACACCGACCTGGACTCTAGTCTGAACACCCGAATTCGCTGTGATGATCTCATCATTGACCAGCACTGACGTTATGCCCTCCATCCCCTTCATAGAATCCGAAACTTTGCCAATCCCACCAGAGGTAAAGTAGTTCTCTGATATGTCCAACAGCCGTAGGTAGGAGAGCATATTGAGCATTTCGAGGGGGCGAAAGAGAGCAGATGTCGATCCACTACGACTGTGTTATGATTTGTTCCTGTTGGACATGTTCGACGAGTCCGCCTTCAAGCGCTTGGAAGCCGCTGTAGGCTCACAGGACTGCATGGAGATACCCCTAGAGGAGGCATGCAGGGCTCTGGCCAGCCTAGGCTACTTCTGTTACGGCCGGCCTGCAACCTATGATGTGTTACTAGCGCAGGTCGGGAGGTTTGAGGCAACTCTCTACCAGAACAGGAATTGTCTTGTACAACTGAAAGTGAGATATTCCAAGGCCGACAATTGAGCCGATCTGTTGTGATCTCAGAGTCTCGAAATCGCCTTCCGCATAGGCCACTCAGCTTTCCCAATATCAAGTCTGAGCCCCTCCGCCCAGCAGACTCTACTGCGTATAAGGCATGCTGAGATAGCAGACTTGAGCAGAGATGCTGCCCCCACTAGCTGGACACAAGATCTCCGGCGTGTAGCCGGCCAGGTCGGTGCACTGTCAACAGGCTGGTCTTGGCCTTCGAATGCCGCCTTTTTAGGTTTGCAATAGAACTTATTTCAACATAACGGTCGGGCCTTTCATAGTGGATTTCGTTCGGACCTCCGACGGTACTCCTCAGACCAAATTAGACAGAGACGGGGATGAGAGGCTTCAGGCTGTACGTCAATGCGTCGCTCTAGAGCCTTTGAAAGGTGAGGGAGACCTTCCTGAC